TACGCACACACACACACGCACGCACGCACGCACGCACGCACGCACACATACATACACACACACGCACACACACACACACGCACACACACACCGCTAATTCTTTTTAGTTTTTTCGCCGATGGGGGTCTGCTTCGAGGCGGGGCGCGGCTGGCCACGGGGCAGGCGCCGCGCGAATTCGAATTCGAAGTTCGACGTTCGAAGCTCGAACTTCGAATTCCGATCGAAATTCGAAGTTCAAAGTTCGAAATTCGAAGTTCGAACAATTCACCCTCCTCTTCCTCGCCCCTGCCCCCCCCGCCCCCTGCCCGCCCCTCTCATCGTTTTTTCTTCCGGGATCTTTCTCGTTTCCCTGGCGCGCCCCCCCCCCCCTCCTGCAGAACGGGCAGGTTGCCGGCCCTCCGCCCTTCTCGCCCACCTCGCCCCTTCTCCTCCCTCTTCCATTTCGTCCTTTATCGTATTCTTCCTTCTCTTCGTCATAAACTTCCCCCTTCCCCCCCCATCCCCCCCCCCTCTTCTTCCTCTTATTATGCTTATTGTTATTATTCCCCCTCCTCGTGCCTCCATGTTGATCGAGGGCTTGAGCCGCGGCCCACCCTTGGGGGCGCCCTGCCCCCCCCCCCCGCGGCCGACGCGGTGGCCCGCCCCAAGGCCGCCGCCTGCGCTCGACCCGGCGGCGCCCATGGAGGCCCGCGTCGCGCCTGCGGGCGAGGGGGGGCGGGCGCCGCGACGGGCCCCGCGGGGCTACCTGTCCCCGCGGGCCCCGAGGGGCCGCCCGCCTGCGCGGGCGCGGCAGGCGCCCCGTCGGGCGCCGCCCCGCCGCGCGCGCAACGCGCGGTGGTGCAGCTGGCTTGGCGAGTTTGCCGCGGCCGTGCTCGAGTAGTTCGACGACGTCGGGCGCCCCTGGCATAGTCCTCGTAGCCTTGCGCGGCATTCGCTAGCCGAGCGCAGCATGCAATGCTTCGCGCAGCATATGATGCGACGCTAGCGTAGCGTGGCAGTGGACGGGCGCGCCCCGCCCCATAGGCACCGCCACTTCGCGCGGCGCGACGTCCGACGCTGCGGCGACGATCGCTTTGCGCTGCGCGCTCGGCCCCATCGTTGATCGAGGCTCGATCATATTGCTTTGTTCTAGCTCACTTGCCTCTCCTCCGCTTTCTTCTCGCCGCTTACATTGGCTCGAGCGCGCGGTCGCGTCGTCTGGTAGCGGAGTTGCAATCGATTTATAATGGGGCTGGCCGCGCCGATGGCGCGATTCACTGCGTTGATGCGTCCATGCCAATGATCAGAGATGTGTGCGTCCGTGCCAATGTACCCGCATTGGGATGTCTTGTTTTTTTATGCTTATGTTCTGATGCTGTGTGATGCCGTTCCAGACGTCTCTTCTGAATTGGGGCGGCTGGGTCTGAGGGTAGAGATCGCTTGCGCGTTGGAAAAGATTGTGGCTTTCGTGCAATCAGAGGAGACTTTCTGCGTTGATCGCGATGGGGAACATTTTGCGCAGCCGTGGGTGGATGATGGAAGGCCATTATGTGCAGGGCTGCGTCGTTTCCGCGCGGGAATGAGCCGCTGCCCCGGATGCGCTGCGATCGTAGAAACATCCCGAAAAGACTCGCGCATGCCATGAACCACTGTGAGTTGACAAAATGGACCGCAGCCTCAGATGGGGGGGGGCTCTCAATATGGATATTTGACTTGGGGGGGAAAGAGGTCGCTCGATCCCACGGCAATGAAGGAGTGGCACAATATTTCCTGCAGACTGCTGACCCCAGTCGGCGGCCCTGTGGCCGGCACGCGCGGCGGCGGTTCAATGCAAGAGGATGCAGAAGGCAGGCATGACTTGCCTCGCCGGGGCAATGCGCCCCCTTCCCCTTGGGGTGGCCGAGCAAACGGAGAGCAACCCTACGTTCGGATGCGAGCCAGAACCTGGATTCCTGGAGAAGCCCAAGTAGAGGCTCATGTCGTGCAACGCTTGGAGGAGGGGCAAAACCAGGGCGGCCGAGTGGTGGCCCGGCGCGTGGGAACACATTGACCCGGCCGAATTTCAGACGAACTGCCCCCCGCTCTGTGCGTTCGATTGACCGAGCGAGGACGACGATGCGATAGAACCGCAGGACGGATATATTCTAGGAAGAGAACCTTGCCGCGGATGGAGCTGATCTTCCCGCGGCCACGTGGCCGATGGGTGCTCGCGCAGGGAAGATGGGAGGGGCCCAGTCTTTCTGTGATAGCGGTCCATATTTCCGCATCGAGACTCCCGCCCCAAGCATCAAGGCGCCGAAGGATCGGCCGCGCATGACTTCCGAGGGCGCAAACAAGAGGCACGAGGAATGAATGATGCCCGGCCCCAGTCGTCCCAATTTCCACGCTGTCGATCGCCAATGCGCGGGCAAACAAACCTGAGATCACGCGCGAAGAAGACCCAGCAGTTTTTTTTTCGAGGAACCCGCCCAGTGATGATGGACAAGCCGAAGAGACATTACATTTTAACATTGCAGAGACCGGTATGTCTCCTGATGCAACCAAAAGAACAGATGTTGTCGCGAGGGCCAGAGATGCGCCGATTGTTTTTTTCGTTCAAACGCACGCCGAGGGAGGGATTGACTTGGACTTCTTTCTATTTTATTTGAGGGAGGGATTGACTTGTCGATGAACCCACGGGCGGATATCGATGTTGAAACCTTTGGGCATGATGCGGTAATGACAGCGTTTAGATTTGCACAGCAACAAGTAATTATTGACGCAATTTCCAGCGACTGTGTAGACGAAGATGCCATCGACGAGAGGTTTGTCCGACTCCTGTATTTTTCCTGGGGAAAGGATGCAACTCTTGCTCTACTTGAGCACAGACACTCCGTGTAATGAACATAGTCCGGGGGTGCATCAGGGACTCTTATCGCACATGGACAATGCATCGTGCTCCCCACAGAAATACAAGACGCGCCGAATGCCCAGGATGGGGAAGGATATCTAGGTGATCGGGTGAAGCGCTGCCCGCAGCTGACGCGCAAGGATTTGCGCGAACTCGGCGAGAATGCATGGAAAGCAGTCAGGAGTTCTGACTTATTGGAGACGTTCATCGCAGACGTGGCGCCCAGCCTTCAGTCCAAGATGCGCATGGATCCCTGGCCAATGCAGACCGAGATGGCTGATCTCATTGGCAAAAGTATATTGACGGAGCCATTGCAGGATAAATGCGTTGAGACGCGGGGGCGCTTTGTCGCCGCGCACGGCCGCTGTTGATATTCCAACGCAGGGCATTGCGACCGCCGGCGAAACGCGGCAACAGTTCGCGTCTCCTGCCGCGCATTCACCTGGATCAGACAATGCAGTTTTCTCGGAGGGGACTGCTGCCGACGTAGCCAGCAGCGCCCCTGCGCCGAATCCGTTGAAACCCAGGGGGGGTTGAAGAAGAGTGCGTTCGAGGTGCCGACTCAGTCGGTGCTTCTGTTGTTCTTCCTACGCTTCCCGCGGCGCCGGCGAGCAGCGTGCCAGCTGCGGCCTCCGATGGCCGCCCCCTCCGCGATCGCGCGCGCGGGCAGCCTTCGCGGCGCGATGCGCTGCCGGCGCCGCCGCTGAAGCCCGAGCGCGGGGCAGGGGCCGCGATGCTGGGTCGAGGCCAGCTTCAGCGTCGCACAATGAACCAAGGCAGCCGACGCCTTGGGCACGTCGAGGACAGGAAGGACAGGGCGGAGCGCCCGGCATCGAGCGGGCGCGCGAACCAAGGCAGCTATCACAGGGGCCAATATCACGGCCGATGGAACATCATCGACCATTAACATGACCACGAACATGGTGGGAAACGGGCGTATACTGATGCTGAGAGGAGGTGGCAGTCTTGGACTGCAGATGATTATGACGACTACTATGGTCGCTGTTGTACGAGGTGAAGGAAGAATCTGCTGACGACGTCCCAGTCGGGGCTGCGCTACGTGCTCTACAATAGCGGGACAAAGTGCTCGTGCATGAACTTCAGCGTTCACTTCCGATGCCGGGGGGTTAATTTGTGGGATGCGCCGCTCCGTGTCGGCCCTCCCCAAGGGAGATCCCGCGGGATTATCGGCGCCCCTTCCGTTGGTGCCGCCAAGGTTTTTGGAGGTTGGCGCTGGGGGGGGCCACTGTGCCTCGGGGGGTGCCAGGAAACCGCAGCACTCTGCGGGGTGGGTTTGAAGCTTGGGGCATGCGCGACCCGCCGCGGGGGAGTCATTATTATTCTTTCCCCGCTCGCTCACTGCCGCCACCCGCCGCAGCTATCTCGGCTGCATAGGTACCAGCGTGGAGAAGCGTCGCTGGCCGGCGCCGCGGGCCCGTCGGCGCAGGAGTTGTAAGGTCGTGGGCCGTCGTCGGCGTCGTCGTCGCCCCTCCTCTTCTCTTTATGTTGTTCTTCTACATACAGTTACTCATAGCTCAGCGGATCGTAGAAGGCATGTCTGATATACCCATCATGGGCGATGAGACTGGTGCGTTGACATCACCATCATTTCACACTTTTGCCGGACACCGTATTCTTTCGGCGGGTGATTATTCGAGGAAAATGATTTGTTCTCTGGCCCCCCTGGTCCTGACGATACCCCATTCGCAAACGATAGTTGCCAATGCGTAGATGTATTTTACAAAGCGGCATGGCCAAGACAGTGTCGAACGAATCCCAGCATGATGAGTTTACTTCTGAAACAAAAGTATTTCTTCACACAAGAAGTGCCACGTGTAGGGGCTATATTTCCGCAGCCGCCAAAACACCTGTGGTAGTGACCGCCGCAAAATGGCCCAGAAGCCCTGCGTAGCGAAATGCATGTGGCTTGGCATTCACGAGTTCAAGATTCAAGTGAGTTTAGAGGTTAACAACTTTATGACACTTGGGATTGCGACGAGCCCCAGGGAGCAAGACATAAGGGCGTTTCTCTTTGGGTGTACGTGTCGACGACGGGGAGTCGCCGTTGGAAAATTGGAGAAAAACTGCCAGACAGGCGCCAGGCATCCTGATGCGCCCAGCGTGCCAGGGCACGGCGGCGGGGTGATATCCCTGGACAAGCGGCGTGGCCCCATCGGTGTTGTCGTGAGCGGCTCTTCCGGCGTCCCGAGGGTGTCGAAGATCACAGGCGGTCTGGTAGCGGAGTGGAACAACCACCATCCGCACTGCAAGGCATCACGAGCGCCGAACATATCCACCTTTCCCTCGCGGTCTGGATTCAGAGGGCGCGATCCTGTGGATGCGCGGTCGCATCATGAATGCACCCTACGGGGGGCATCCACCAACAAAACGCCTCGTGTCCACAGGGTCGCGGTCCAAGAGCCCGCCCGCGCGGCCGTGGATACTAATGCGTTTTCCGCCGCCCACGAAGGTAAGCGCAGGCGACACGATTCTGGAGGTTAACGGTGTGCGCGGGGACCCTATCGCGATGTTGACGGAGCTCGCGCGTGGCCCCGACGTCGTGCGTTTGCTCGTTCTCCCTGGGCTGCAGCCGGCCGGGGCGACGCAGTCATAGGGTCCAATGCTCACTGGCGGTTGCCGCGCGATTTCGCTCGCCCGCTTTGCAGATGGCCATCCTTCAAAGGAGGAACAGGTGCCATTCTTGCTACCCTTGCCCTGTTTTCGCATTTTGTGCCTCCTGGGCTTCCCTCGTCGCCACGGCTGAAATCGCTTCGAAATGTTGGTCAGAACGCTGCGCGAGAGATGTCCTGAGAGCAGCGGTATCGGTACCCTTTCGTTCACCCAACCCTGATCGTTCCTCTCTCCCGCCATTTCTGTTCTCGGCATATCATCCCCACGCCAGCGGCAGTTGAGAAGTATAACACTTCAGTTGCCGCTAGCGGAATTGCAGGTGGTTGCTAATGTCCTCTTTGCGTTGCTTGTGACGTCATACGCGTTAGCATTTTCTTTTCAGTGAGAAGAGCACTGTGGTCGGCATCGGCAGTGAATCGCTGATCCATGCCTCCCCACGAGCCCAGAAGCCAAATGCACAGTTGAAGGGTATTGCTTTTGAATTTGTGGTGGTTCCTCTCAGCATCTGTTCTGCGAGTATGGTTTGGAGCCCGTCTTTCTTCCTGCTGTTTATGTCTTCTTAGGTGGATCCCTGTTTGGAGCTAGCGGTAGCGTCTTCAATGTAGCAGGATTGTACCTGGGGATCTTTTAACAGAGGTCAAGGCACCTCTCTGTAGTCGCTGGCGGGGTATGCAGACGAATCCATGTGGAGTTAAGTTGTTGTTGTTGCTGTTGTTTCAATCGGGCGGCGAATGAGGGAAAACCATGGATGGCAGAAACAAGGGAGCTGACGCGGCGTGCGCAGATCAATTAGCGTTAGATCGACGAATGTTGGCGTAGTGCTCGACGCCGTCTCACTGACGGCCTGCACGGACGAGTGTTGCTTGGTTTGGAGGTCCCCCATCGTAGGATGAGCGCTGGCATCTCTGGCATCTTCCAATGACGACAACCTATCTAATTTGTTCCGCTGGGTCGGGAGGTTCCCTCTCGGACGTTTGGGAATGGGGAGGATGAGTATTGCCATTTTGTCCTCGATTCCATCGGTTCCGCTGAGGGCTCTCACCAAGCGGCGCGTGTTTAGTGATCCATCCGTTTGCTCTCCTCCTCCTCCTCCTCCTCCTCCTCCTCCTTTGTTCGTTCTGGCCCGACGCTGGCCTCTACTGGCAGCGCCGTGCCACTGTCGCCGCACTCGTGCTCCTCTGGAGGATGAGGAGGGTTATTGTAAGGGGGTGGGGGAGCTTCGTGCCAGAGCATGTGCGGGGGGGGCTGGTTGCAGTCGTCGGGAAAGGCCGTCGGGGTCGTCCGAGGGCGGCGTGGGGCAGCCGACCGAGCCCAGCACGCTGCGGCTTGGTGGGGGGGGGGGCCCTCTGCGGGATCACCCACCGCCCTGCCGGAAAAGGGTTGGACGGCGCGCGTGGAGGCGGGGCGAGGGGCCGCCAGCGCGACGCTGACAGAAAAACGCGGGGGGCGTCCGCGCTGCCGGCAAGGGCGGGCGGTGGTGGGCGGGGGGCGGTGGGCAGCGGCGTCCGCCACGGAGGCAGCCGTGGCCGCGGCCAGATGGGCCGCTGCCACCCCCGCCCTCCCAGACAGCGCCAGGAGGTGCCGCGACACCGCCCGCGCGCTCTCCTTGTGTAGGGAGACGGAAAGACGCTGGACGCGTCGGTCCACAACCAACCACCCGCTTGGCTAGGACGCCGAAGTCCTTGCGTGCCTCGCGGCCCCACCCGCAACCGTGGGCTTCCACCGCCATGGCGGGGGGGAAGGTGAAGTCCCGTGCCGCGCAAAGCCGCGCGGCGTCCTGGCGCTGCCCGTTGAAGTCCTCGCGCCGCTCCATCGCCACGTTCGGCGAAGCGGCCGACGCAGCGAGGATATCGGCGCGCAGCCCAGACGCGGCGACAAAGTTCCAGGCGACCGCCGCGCCGTTGCGCCACGGTGGAAAGTGGACGTCGGCAGGGCGGCGGCCAGCGCCCTCCACCTGAGGCCCGCCCTGCTAGCTCCCGCGGGCGGCCTCCCCAGCGGAGCGCGCGAGAGGCAGCCCGGGGCGCTCCAATTCCGCCCCGGCGTGGCCGGCGCCCAGGGCGCCCTAGGCTTGGCCGCGCAGGGCGCCGTGGCATTTGGCCCGGTCGCCGCGGCAGGCGCAGACCAAGGCGCGGTCGCAGAGGACGCCCATCACCTCGCCGCGGGCTGGGCAAAGTTATTTTTTCCTGCAGGAGCCGGACTCGCAGCCGCCTCGACAGGCAGTCTTGCATGAGGTCGCGCGGGAAGGCGACGCCGGCGCTTGGGGCCACGCGGCAGCGCCCGAGGCTTGCTGCGCCCTGTCAGCCAGGGTGGCACTCGCCAGAAGCTCGTCGGGCGCGGCGCTGTCCACCGCGTCGGGTCGCCGTGTTGCGCGTGGTCGAACGCCCCCCGATCGGCGTCCAGCGCGACTGCGTTGTGGGCCTGCGCCGCAGCCGCCAGGCTTCCTCCGTCGCTGTCACCTCCTGTGGGGTAGCCAGGGTAGAGCTGACGACAGAGGTCGGCGCTCTTCGCTCGGGATGCGATGCAGGCGGCGGCGGCGCGCTTTGTGGCGGGGCGCAGGTCGAGCCCTTCCTTGTCGAGCTTGAGCTGGGCCTGCTGCCGAGAGGCGTCGGGGGGCGACAAGCCGCCCAGTTGCTAAAGGCGGGCCCGGACAGCGTCGCCCATGGCCATCGACTCAAGGGGGCTGCGTGCTCTGTGGGCGGCACCGAGCGCGCGGAGTAGCCCGGCTTGCAGCAGGGCTTAGCAGGGTGCGCATTGGCGCAGGAGGCGCAGCGCTACCTGCGTGTTTTTGAGCTCCCTCAAAGCTTCCAGCAGCGCGGCGGCGATCGTGGCCCGCTGCTCCGCTTGCTCCGCGCAGAAATCCGCGCCCCCGCGCTCTGCTGGAGACCCACCGCGGCGAGGTTGGCCGCGAGCAGGTGGAGGAGGCGCGCGACGGCCGCCGAGTCGCCCGCGAGGCAGCCATCGTTCATGTGGAAGGAACACAGATCGACGGCGCCGTCGGCGTCGTGGCACAGAGGGCGGCCTCGGCGGCGCGCCGCAGAGCCAAGGATAACAGCAAGGGACCGAGAGGGTCGCCCTGCTGCACCCCGCTCTCGGAGCGGACAGTCTGCGTGCCCAGGAAGATGGCGGGCGGGAGTAGCGCCGGTCGGCCCGGAGCGCCAGCCCAGGAAATTGTTCGTGGACCGCGCGGAACACAGCTCGTCTGTTCAGGGTGTCCAAGGCGTTGGACGGGTCCAGTTTCACAAACATTTTCCCCTGATCCCCGAAGTGGCGGGTCCACCGCCGGCGCGCCACGCGCGCCGCCGCGTCGGCGCCGCTGGGGGCCGCGACGCCGATCAGGAGCGGGGGCAATCGGTCGCGCGCGGCGTCGGCCACCGCGCGGCAAGGGCACTTGCCGACGAGGCGCCGGAGCACGTCCCCGACGGCGACCGGGCGCAGGCCTCCGTCCTTCTTCGGCAGGGCCACCAGAGAGGCGCCCGCGAAGTACTCGGATACGGCCGGCGGGGCCTGCCCCCTGGCGCAGGCGATCGGTACTTAGCCCGGGAAAATCGAACATTCCCCAGGAAAAACGAACATTCCCCGGTAGCACCGGGGAATGTCCGATTCTTGTGGCGCTTCTTGTGCGAACGTTTCGAGCGGGGTCGGGCTGCAGAGTCTTTGGAAGCCAACTGGTTGGCTTACGTGTGACCATCCGGTTTCCGAAAAAAAACATACCGGGGAATGTCTGATCTCGGTGTGCTCGCGCGTTGTAGTTCTGGTATGGGTAATGGCGGTGGAAAGATTAGTGGTAATGGTTGTGGTAGTGGACGTGGTAGTGGTAGTGGTAGTGGTAGTGGTAGTAGTAGTGGTAGTAGTAATAGTGGTAGTAGTACTGGTAGTAGTAGTAGTAGTAGTAGTAGTAGTAGTAGTAGTAGTAGTGGTGGTAGTAGTAGTAGTAGTAGTAGCAGTTGTAATACTAGTATTAGTAGTAGTAGTAGTAGTAGTAGTAGTAGTAGTAGTAGTAGTAGTAGTAGTAGTAGTAGGAGTAGGAGTAGGAGTAGGAGTAGGAGTAGGAGTAGGAGTCAAGCTAAGCCAGCTCGAGCGAGTCAAGCATGGCATGCCCAGTCCCACCCGCCTCCCACAACATAAGAAGCAAAGCTGGCACAACTGGGGGCCGAAGTCACACCGGCCAGCCGGTTTGGTACAGCTGATGCGGCCGCGATGGCGGTTGCCGACGGGAACTGGCGAACGCGTGTTGAATGCCGCGCACGCATTGCCAGACGAGTCGAGAATGGCCCGGTACACCGCAGGAAGCCAGAGGTGGCCGGAGGAAGCCCGACGGTCTGACAGGACACCCCAAAGCATTTTTGTGAAACAGCATTGGGTTTTTGATGTTTTTATGTTGAATGCTTGCAAACACACGGTGTTCGGTAGGATTCTGACATGAACGCGCGAGTGTGCTCTTTGTTGTATTTTTTGCACAGGATTCGCGGCCTGGGTGCATGACAGAGCATCGCGAGTGCACCGCGCGATGACGTGAAAATCTGATGGATTTGACACTTTGACAGAATTCTTAGATTTCTGATGAGTTTTCTCACATGATTTCAGGCAAGAGAGCCCGGGCGGAAAAATTGTACAATTTTTTTTGTGAAAAAAGGCAATATAGTTTTTGATTGGTGTATGTATGAAATTGCTTGCAAACACACGGGTTCGGTAGGATTTCTGACATGAAGGCGCGGGTGTGCGGCCCCCGTTTGTTCCTTTTTTTTTTTTTTTTTTTTTTTTTTTTTTTTTTCTTGTTTTTTGCTTTTTTTTCTCTTTTGTTTTTTTTTTTTTTTTTTTCTCTCTTTTTTTCCTTTTTTCTTTTTTTTCTCTTTGTTGTATTTTTTGCAATGGATTATCGCCGTGGACGACAGGACGTCCATGTCGAGAGGAAGAAATAAGAAACATATTGATTTTGTATTGTTTTTTACATGTTAGGATGGGACCACCCGGATGCGGCCCCTAATGGCCGGCCTGAGGGGGGAGTAGGAGTATATTCGAATGAGGAATAAGGATAGGAGTAGGAGTAGTAGCAGTAGCAGTAGCAGTAGCAGTAGTAGTAGGAGTAGTAGTAGTAGTAGTAGTAGGAATAGTCGTAGCAGTAGTAGTAGTAGTAGTAGTAGTAGTAGTAGTAGTAGTAGTAGTAGTAGTCCAGGCGAGGGGCACCGAGGCGCAGGACGGAGCCCAGAAGTGGCTCGACGCGCTGGACGAGGAGGCGGAGGAGGACGTGGGAAGGCTGAAGAGGGGTGTCTTGGAAGCCTCGGGGATTGCAGACGCCCACCTGGGACGCAAACGCGCCTGGAAAGAGGAGTGCCAGGGTAACACCGCGGCGCAGGAGGCCTACCGCCGCCTGGGCGACTACACGGACCAGTTTTACCGTGACAAGGGCTTCACGTTCAACGTGTACTACAAGTGCGCGGCCAACAAGACCTGGGATAATCCCAGGGGGTGCTGTTCGGTGATCCGATCGGATCGCTGGTCACAGCTGCTCTCATGCGCCCAGGAGGCAGCGGGAGAGACGGGCCAGCGCTGGTACTGCCACTGCGGGGCGCGCTACTCGACCTCCTACGGAGTTTGCATCGAGTTCATAGAGGAGGAGGCGAACCCGCCACGCGCGTACTACATGCACGCGGAGCAACCCGAGGAGGACATCCGCGACCTGAAGGCCTTGTTGCGCTACGACAAGCTCAAGAAGGAGGGGGTCACAGTGCTCAGCGCGGTGGACCTTCTGCAGCGCCTGCCCAAGGTAGAGCCGATGGCGGTTGGCACCGTCTTCAAGCGCTATGCTCCACACCAGGCACAGTGGAAGGGCCACTATGTGCTGATGGAGGGGCTCACCTGGGAGAGCTTGCCCACGTTCGAGTGGACCGACCTCTACGCGCAGGTCGCCTGGGGACTGAACGACCCCGAATGGGCGGGGCACAGCAAGAAGACGCGGAACAAAGCCAAGAGGGAGCGCCTGGAGATGGCGCACAGGGAATTGGCGCACTACGAGCGCCGCCACAACCTGAAAGCGGGCAGCCTCTCGGGCGGCGGGGTGGTACTGGGGTCGCCCCGCGCGCCGCCCCCGTTCGCAGCGCCAGTGCCCCGCCAGCGAGCGGGGCCCGCGGCAGCGAGGACCCGCCACCACCGCCAGCGGGAGTCCCGCCAGAGGCCGTGGCCATCATGGCCCCCCCGCCGCCGCCGCCGACGGCGCCCC